AGGCTTAGTAGTGGTTTGGGGTAGGGAATGTTAAGGATGAGAACGCAGCAGGCCCGGGAGATGATGACTATGAAACGCAGAAGTTGATCGAAGAGTCTAACTCGAAGAAGGGAATGGGGTTCAACCCTTATGCCAAGCAGGCGGATCGACTGTAGTACTGGGGAGCTCCTAGTAGTAGGGGAGAGGTGGCGTGGTAGGTACGGGAAGTCTAACACGACGGTGCTGGGGGAAGATGGCGTTACTCGAGAGGTGGTGAAATTGGATGAGGATGATAATGTGAAGAAGGAGTTGGATGAAGAGGGAGACGATAATAGGGAGGAGTGGTAGGGCAGGTTGGGCAGCTGTTGAAGTGAACGGTCTTCACGTAGGGAGTATCGGCCGCCACCACGGAAGGTTTTAGGACCTGTCATGCCTGGTAGAGAGAGAGTGAAGGAGGAGCTGGAGGAGGAGGATCCGAGGGATGCTAAGGCAAGACGGAAGGCTGAGAAGAAGCTCGCTAAGAAAATCAAGAAGGATGAGAGGCGAGCTGAGAAGAAGAGGAGGAAGGAGCAAAGGGAGAGGTAGTAGTGGAGGTAGTGTGATGGACTGTAGTGTAAGAGCAGATCTGAGGACAGAGAACCCTCCAGGAGGCGGGCGTCGTCTAGGTCGAGGTCTCCTCTAAGGAGGTCTCGGCATGGTAGCAGTAGGAAGAGAGGTGAGATCGGGTGGTCTGGTGATGGGGGAGGGGTTGCTGTCTTGTAGCGCTTCCAACGTTTAATTCTGTATCAAGTAATGCAAAGCCCGTCGGTGCTTATCCATCGTGCTTTTTCGTTCTCATGCTTCACTCCTTGGAATGCTCTTCACGGCTGTAAGGATAGTCGAACCTTTTTAGATTCACCACGTGATGAGGATCGTCATCGTCATCATCATCACCATCGTAGGGAACGCGATGATTATGATGAGAGAGGACGTCGCTAAAGGCAACGCTTACTGACGTGCCTACGTCCATTATGTTCTCTTTGGAAGGAGGAAGGTAGACTGCAACATTGAAAGGTGGCAGTGTTGAGTAGTAGTGAAAAGTCAATTCACTGGGGTAGTTGCTATGCCATGCAACGTCCTGTTCGATACGAGCAGGCTCAGGGGTCCACGATAGAGCCCTACTGTTACTCACCATCACATGAACACCTTAGAGAGGCCTCGTCTCTAGTTATCAGGGAGGAGGGGAGAACACTGCGGCAGTCTGGGCGAATTGTCCGACATTGGCGGTCTTTGGTTCTATGGTTTCTGCCAAAGGAGTCTGCGGCTGGTGTAGTGAGGAGGTTGATCGGTAGTGGTCAACTGTTGGCCCGCCTACTCTATCACAGAGACCTCAGTTTCTTCATCTTGTCCCACCTCGGCTCTTCCCTGGGCCCACTGTTCAGAGCCTCGGTGGCGTGGGTAGAGGCCGACCAATGAGGCCACTTAATTCACAGCTCGTTGAACTCATGTGCATTGCAGTACTCTACTTCTTGTTGTGTTATCTCATGTTGATGATTGTGAAGGCAGTACGGCCGCTGATACCCGAGGGGCGCTGTCGTGCTGGGCCATTTCGCTGGGCTCCTACTAGCTTTCTTGTCTCCTTTTCTCTCGGCTTCTTTTCTGCAGCGCAACTCTGACCGAGGCCGTAGATTCTGGGGTAGTATCGTAGTCTCAACGACGGGTTTGCTAGCAATGGCTCTCCTCCGCTCGCCGAAAGAGATGCCGGACTTTATGGAGGTATCGGTGGAAGTCGCTGAGGCCATCACTAACAACAAACCAGTGGTGGCCCTCGAGAGCACCATCATCACCCATGGTGAGCTTGCTGATCTCAGACTCAACGCAATTGGGTATCCTTAGGCATGCCCTATCCGCAGAATTTGCAATCGGCCCTTGAGGTGGGGAGAGTCGTACGAGATGCCGGCAGCGTACCTGCCACTATAGCGCTCATGAGAGGGAAGGTTAAAGTTGGCTTGACTGAGGCGGAGATCAACGAGATCGCCGAGATGGGACCAAGCAAGTGCTCGAAGGTATTTCCTCGTCACCTCCCTTAGTCATGGTCTCTATGTAGGTCTCTATACGCGACATAGGGCTGTTGGTGGCCAATAAGGGTTATGGATCCACCACAGTAGCAGCTACTATGCGCATAGCCTCAATGGCTGGCATACGGGTGTTTGCTACTGGTGGTATTGGTGGAGTTCACAGAGGGGCCGAGGTAGAGGGAAGGTTCTCGTACTTGGTCGATACTTTGTTAGCAGTCAACATGGGATGTGTCTGCTGATCTCACTGAGTTGGGCTCTACTCCAGTAGCAGTAGTGTGTGCTGGTGCCAAAAGTGTACTGGATCTTCCCAAGACGCTTGAAGTGGGGGAAGTCTGTGGTCGTCTGCCTCAGCAGTGAGTGCTCCTCCTGTAGTTCCTCGAGACGCAAGGGGTGCCTGTCCTCGGTTGGGGTACGGATATTTTCCCGGCATTCTTCACCCGGGATAGTGGTCTTCGGACCTCTGGTGTTGTGGACGATGCTGATCATGCTGCGAGGTAGGTGACAGGAGTTCTTTGGAGGAGGTAACGGTGGAGTTCAGAATTCTGGCAGCCTCCGACCGCTTCTTCTCGTCACCACGTTACAGACGTCCAGGATGCGTCATAGCATGCCCAGTACCGGAGGCAGGAGCTGCTGATATGAAAAGGATAGAAGAGTGCACTGAGGCGGCGTTGAAGGAAGCTGAGGGGAACGGTGTTCAAGGTGAGTGGGGAAGGTCTGCTGCTGGGGATGGTAGGAGTCTCTCTGAAGGCGCTGATGTAACTCCCTTTCTGCTCAAGAGGATCAACGAGTTGACGGGTGGAGAGAGCTTAGCGGCTAATCTGTGTCTTATTAAGAACAATGCAATGGTCGCCAGCCAGATAGCAGTAGCCTATCATCAGAGGGTAGTATCCTTTCCTGGTAACAGTCTACAGTGTTGATGTAGTTCTTCCGGCAAAGAGGCGTGGCGGCAGGCCCTGGGGCGGTGGCGGTGTTGGGAGGGATAGCAATGGACATCACTGCTAAGGCAAGTGACCCAACGAGTGCAGGGGCTCAGGTGAGACTATCCATGGGCTGTGTAGTCGTGGGAAGGGGCTCTGTGTCGTTGATATCAGGAGTCTACTGTCCCAGGGTTTCTGTCGATGTCCACTGGAGGCGTCGGCCTCTCCTTGGCAGAGAGCATGGCGATGTTGGGGGCGACACCTGGTCTTATCTCAGCTGTCGGTCGGGATAGCCATGGGGAAGCCTTGATGCAGTAGGGATGGTCTGCGCTGGGTCCACGATGGGGAGGTGGGATACTCTCAGGCGTCTTCGGCAGATAGGGGTGCCTACCACCAATGTGAAGGAGTTGACCAGCGAGTCCACTGGTACATGTACCCTAGTACTTGACGGTCGTGGAGAGCTTATATCGGTAGTAGTAGTAGTAGTATTAGTAGTAGTAGTAG